ATGCTGCTGAACAACTCTCAGGACTACATTCGGCAAGAAAACTATTTATTACATTGTAAAAGCATTAAAGCGGCCCAGTTTTACAAATTGGTCTTTTATTAGGAGTCTGCTCTAAGGACTTATTTGTTAGTGAGATCAAAGCATTTTAAGACGTAAACATAAGCCTCTGCGTTAAAGAGGGGTGCTTGGCAAACCCGTTATGGTAAACTGTCACCCTTTCTGTACCTGGCTATGGCAGTTATTACATAGCAGTTTGTGTTAGAAGTCGCGAGGCCCAGTCTGTTGCTTATTGTGACGGGAGTATGAGGGCCAGAAAAAACTAGTTTTGTAACACAAATTTATAGATGCTTTATAAAATGTAAGTGGAAGTGGTGGTGCATGACTGTAACCCCAGTGTTCACGAGGCTGCAGGAGGATTGCAAATTCAAGGCCAGTGAGACTCTATTTCAATAAAACCAAAAATAACAAAAAAGCAGGATTTCTAATTTCTAGATATAATCTATACAGAAAAGCACTTTGAAGCTCTTTTTGAGTAAAAATTTATCCTGAGATTGTCACACACGTACACAGAATTGTAGCTCTAAGCTGATCGCGAGCATCAAAGAACCGCAGCCCTTTTTTATGAGCTAGAAAGATAGTGTGATTGGGACACAAAGGAAAGTCACGGTTAAAATGTGGTATAGTAGAGAAAGTCATTTTCTGTTCAGATCCATTTCAGAGCCTTTCTAGGCCCACCCCTGGTCCTAGGCAAGTGGAAGGAATACTGTTCGCATGATGGCAAGCGACTGCCCTACTAGTTTCTGACTTTCTCTCCAGAGTGGCCAGCCACTCCCTGAGCAGCGTAACCACAGGCTCAGTTATGCCCCGTCAGGTTGGGCAGTATGTTAGTTGTTGCTAAAAGTTTTTTTTTTTTTTTTTTTTTTTTTTTTTTTTTTTAAACTACTCTTCCCTGGGTCCCACTGTAGACTGACTAATTAATTAAGGTTTCTAGAAATAAGCACTAATTTTTTCCTTTTTTATTGAAATATAATTTACATCAAGAGCACAACTTTTTTTTTTTTTAAAGACAAGGTCTTGCAAGGTCGAACAGGCTGGCTTGGAATTGACCATCCTCCTTCATCAACCTCCTGAGTGCTGAGATTACTGGAGTGTGCTACCATACCTTGTAAGAGCACAAATCTTAATGATATAACTATGATTTTCTTAAAGCATGTATGTTTCCAACTCACCTGTGGGGTCCTGCATGCCTCCTCATAGTTTAACACTTTCTCCAAAGGTGACCTCTATTCTGATATTTATCACTGTACTTTCTTTCCCCTAGATTTAAACCTTATGTAAGTGTATTCATTATAGCATGTTCTTCTCTTATGATTCTTTACTCAACATTGTGACATTTTTTTGTGATATTATATATAGCTGTAATTTAGTTTTGAGTGCATGGCTATGTAGTATTCCATTGTAACATACTATTTATTTATTATTCTATATTTGAGGGAGTTGGGTGATTTCCTTAAGCTAATCTGCAGTATGGGTAACATGGTCTGATCATCAGATACAGGAATTGGACAAATAGGGCAGCAGGAACAGCAGGTCCCTTACATGCTGGATGCATAAAAATAAGCTCATTGAAAGGAGGTTCTAGGGCTGGTGAGATGGCTCAGTGGTCTAAAGCACCTACTTAGAACAAGCTTATCAAAGCACAGGGACCACGGTTCAATCCCCCAGCACCACATGCCAGCTAGCCCCGCCCCCTGGTGGGCTGAGCTGGCCACACACACACACACACAAATAAATAAAATTAAAAAAAAAAAAGGTTCTAGAGCTGGAGCTAGAGCTCAGTGACACAGAACCTGCCTGGTAAGCATACAGTCCTGAGTTTGATTCCAAGTACCAAAAAAAGGGAAAAAAAATGAAATAAAGTCTCACTTTTCCTATTTAAAATTACATATATATTTGCAGAGGTATAGGGAAATTTGCATGAGTTAAAACATGACTGATGGAGGGCCTGCCCCTTAGCTCAGTTCTTTAAGTGGCTGCTTCAACAAAGCAGTCAGGCTCAGGTTGCTGTGGTTGATCCCCACAACTCAAACCAGCCAAACCTGCCCTGAAGGCATTCGGAGAAAAAAAAAAATCCTTCTGCCATTTAGGGGCTGGGGAGATGGCTCAGTGGAATAAGCGCTTCCCTGGCAAGCGCAAGGGCCTGAGTTCAATCCCCGGTTCCAGAAAAAAAAAAAAAAAAAAAACAAAACAAAACATGACTGAAGAAGGAAAACATGGACATAAAGCTTTGTAAATGGGGAGGGGACAGGGTTGACAGCAGGGTAGGAGAACAGGGGAAAACAATTTATGCCATGTAGAGGTACAACTTCTGTATGAGTAATGTGATTGTTATATCTATCTAAAATGTACCAACAAAATCTAATTTAAAAATCCTCCAAAAAATAAATTGTGACTGAGTCCTTAGAGATTTAGGGCATCAAATATTAGAGGGCTCTGATTGCTGAATGAACTTAATTTGGTCTCACTAGCTAACTGCGAGTATATTCAAATGTTAAACACTTTATTTCTAAGTTTCTTCATTTTACGCAAGATATATTCAGGTATTAATAAAGTAGTAACTAATTCATTTGTCAAATATTCCAATGCCTGACTGTACTTCTCTGAATGTTTTCCAGTCAGAGGTGTTCCCAGGTCCCTAAGCCAGAGACACCTAGGGACGCCCAGCCTTGTAGTCTGTAGTGTCTGACAGGGTGTGCAGCGCTCAGTGCTCCATGCCTCCCCAGCCATGCTTCCGCTGGCTGCAGGTAGCCATCGCTTCTTGCCAGGGGAGCACAACAGACTTAATGGTCCCCTTTGTACTCTTGCCTCATTTCCTACTCCTTCTCTCCACCCATCCTTTAGCTACCAGAATGACTTTTAAACACATCAGGCCATGCCATTCCTTTCCTCAAAGATCCAGATAGCTTGGTATCAGAGGTGCCACTTTTGGCACACTTAGACGAACTTCCCATGCCATCAGCATCCAGCCTGGTAACACCAGTGTCATTTCACACCAGTCCCTGTTCACTGATGATTTCTTCATTTTCAGACACACCAAACTTCACCTTACTGCTGTCCTCCTTGCTTCATACTCAGAAGTTTACCATGCCCTACAAGTCAGTCTTTATATAATTGGTTCCTTTAAAAAAAAAAAAAAATTTGGTTCTCAGACCCAACTGCCTCCTCCTTTCTGAGAGGCCTTCTTTGACCACCCAGTGTAAAGTAGTCATCTCTTCACTTTTTAGAACATACACTGCCTTAATGCTGTGTGTTGCACTCAGCATATATGTTTTCTTATTTGCTTAATCTGCCTCAGTAATGGTCAATAACATTGTGTCAACTTGAAAAGTTTAAAGGACATGCCCTTGGGTGGCTGCTTCTCGTCAGCTTGAGATGTTTAGAAGTTTAACTGATTCAGCAGGGGCTCTGGGCCCTCACTTTGTGAACATCGTGAGCCTGTGCAAAGAGGAGGGCAGGGAGATGATGTGCCTGCTAGAACCCAGCCGTGGGCTGGTAGCCTGCGTACACTTAAGGGAGGAAGAGATGCTTGCTGTCCCCTGCTTTTGCTCTTACTCCTTTTTCTGTCTTCTGCTGCCTTACACTGGTACCCCTCTGCCATGCTACTGTACCTTCAAGCCAACTGATTACAGAGTGAAACCTCCATAAACACTGAGCTAAGTAAACTTCACTTCCTTAATTTTGGGAACCGGGTATTTTGTCTCAGCAATGAGAGAAAAGCCAAAATAGCCACTAAAGAATAAGCTCTGTTTTATTGCAGCTAGGTGGACAGAAATATTTCTGTCCCAAACATGAATCAGATGGCACAAATATTAAATGTAGCCTCTCCCCAAAATTAGTCTGTCAGAAACCCAAGTTTTGAGTTCCAGGATCCTTAAGACAAAGAAGAGGAAAAACACAGCTGTCCTTTGCAGGCTGTACTACGAATGACTCTCTGAAGGGACTTTTTTTTTTTTCCAGTGCTAAAGATTCAGTCCAGAGTCTTGTGGTGCTGGACAAGTGGTCTGCCACACCCAGGTCTTTTTATTATGAGATACAGTCTTGATAAGTTGCACAGACTGCCCTTGAACTTTGTTTCAGTTTTTTTTCTGTACTGGGAATCGAATTCAGGACCTTGCAGTTGCCAGGCAGGCACTGTGCTGCAGAGCTATATCCCCAGCCGGCCCTGTCTTTCTTTTCTCATTGCTGAGACAAAATATGTGACACTCAAAGTTAAAGGAGCAAAGGTTCCTTTGGTTCACAGCTTGTAGAGGTTTCAGTCCATGGTTAACTGGCTCCAAGGTAGGGTGGCGTGGCAGAAGAGAAACAGTTGATGGGGGGCAGAGGACAGCAAAAGCTATGCATAAGCAACAAGCCTCTTGGTCTTTTCTCTTAGATCTTAGCTGGGCCATCTGCTCTTCGGGTGGGGAGCACTCGCATCCTTAGTCCTAGCACTGGATCCTGAATGAGTCCTAGCATCACATACTCTAGATCCATCATCTCTGAAAAGCCGTGCCTATGACTGCATGAGGCTCTGGGGGGACATCTAGGCACAAGCCCTCACTAACCTGCCTCAGCCTCCTGAGTAGCTGTGAATGCAGATGTGTGCCACTGAGCTCGGCTTGGAACGCCTTGATTTTACCAGTGTTATGTTTTTTTTTCAGTCTGCTACTGGGTAATGCAGTGTTTTATTTATCCTGTTCATTAATAACTCACATCTGAACACAGAATGTTTAATTGAACTTATTTAGAAGGGTAATGCAGTTTTATTTATCCTCTTCATTAATAACTCATATCTGAGCACATTTGCAATATTTAATTGAACTTTATTTAAGAGAAGATCAACTTTTATTTTTTACATCTTAATACTGAGTACTAATAACAGTGATAGTATAATTATGGTCAAAATTATTCTGTCCAAAATTTAGGACTAAATGCTTGGTGCTAGTATGTTTACACACAGCTCAGTTTTTAGTGTGAAGTTCTTTGTCTGCAAGAAAAAACGTTTGGTTTACTTCATGAATAGGAATCTCCCTTAAGGCTGGGATGGACTCTTTTTGGTATTTCTTCTGCTGTTGGTGTTTAGCATAGTTATAAGAAAAGAACAGAAGCTGTGTTTACCCGTGCAGTTTCCCCTGTAAGTTTCTAGTTAATTAAGACTCATCACATAGTTTTCTAGGCTGATGTCTGGGTAATGACAAATACCATGTTTAACATAATTAAATGATTACTTAAATCCTCTCTTTAGAAGAAATGTTCCAATTCAAATAAAAATGCAATCAGTAAAGTACTTTCCTCATCTCTAACTTGGAAAAAATTAGCATTTCCTCCAGCTGTACAATGATTACGAAAGTCTCACTTCATGGTTTTCATAGGGATAGTTACATGCAGGCCTTGAAGATGTATTTATATAAACACTGAAAACTATTAAATCTTTTGGTATAAATACTTTGGAAAACTAAATTATTTCCTTACTTGGCACAAATTGTCTATTTGCTATACTCAGTTAAGGATACTGAGAATATAGTAGGTGTCAGGTAAGAAATTTAAACTGCTATAATTGATTTTCAAAGTCCATTGCACAGGATCACGTATTTGGTTTGGAAACGGAAAGTTACCCCACAAGCATGCTGTGGCTCTTGTACTCTCCTTACTTGGGATAAAGTGCCCACAGCGATCCCGAGGGGCACATACACCCTGTTCAAATCCTTGCAAGCAAGGTCTGCATGTGCCTATTTGCCATCCCTTGATCACAGTCACTGTTATGATAAAGAAGTTTCAAGCAAAGTTGCTGAGAAATATGCTTTATATACTTGTAGTTTTTGTGAGAAAAACGCCTGTTAACTAGTCCTATAATTTAGAATTGATTTCTTGCACAAATAGAACTAATCATATTCACTGTAACTTATTTCCTCTAAGTATGTCTTTTTGTATAACTCTGTATCAGGCATTAATTTCTTCTAGATTCTTTTTGTTAAAGACATGGAATTACAGAGATACAGGCATACTCCTGTTTATAGCAGCACAGCTCATCACAGCTGAATCTTGGAAGTGGCTTGTATGTCCATTGATGGATGAATGGATAAAGTATGGTTTTCACTTATAGATAATACAGTACTACTCTGCCTTAAAGAAGGGTAAACTTAAGTAATGTGTAGAAAAACAGATCAACTTTGAGCTCATGATGTTAAGTGAAATGAGACACACCAGGTTTAATAGCACATCATTTGTCTTGTGCCAGATATAAAGAACAAATGATAGGTCCCAAGAAATAGCTCAGTAGGCACAAGCACCTGCCTGGCAAGTGCAAGTTCCTGAGTTCGATCCCCATTACAGAACAAATGATAGCTAATAGGAAGATAGGATCTTTTCTCCTAGCAGGTGCTTTGCAGCTTAGTCTTGATTGTCTTTCTTTCTGTTTTTGTATTTTAGGGAAGGGTCTAGGGTCTCACTACTAGATCAGACTCCTAGTGATCCTCCTATTTACCACTTCTCAAGAGCTGGGATTATAGGCACGATACCATGCCCAGCCTAAATTGCCGTTTGCTAGTATACCATTTCTTCATCCCCACCACTTTCCTTTTATATAAATTTACCTGTCATTGTATGAGTGGAATTGAGTGGAGAGGTGCTCATCATGTTAATTCCAAATAAGAGTACATAACTGCTTACTATAGTAATAAGGAGGTAGACAGGCAGTGCAACTGCCCAGGATCTGGAAAAGAGATAATAGATGATAATGCACCTTACTGACATCTTTTGTTTGTTTTTTGAGACAGGGTCTCACTATGTAGTTCAGGCCAGCCTTGAACCCACTATGTAGTCCAGGCTGGCTTTGAACTTGTGGAGATCTTCTTGCTTCAGCCTCCTGAGTACTGTGATTATAGACATGTGCCACTGTGCCTGGCTCAAGAATAGACATCTTAAGTTATAATTCTCAACAGTCATAAAAAGCTGCAGCTTCTACCGCATCTGTCCTACTCTGTTGTCCCATTCCCAGGAAGGGCCTCTTCAAATAGCTGAGCTGTTTCTTCTGGTACTTCCTCATCCTACATAATATGCTCATATTTTTTGTTTTTTCTTTCAATTTCAGACATTTTCTCTAGACTCCTGAGTTGGAGATAAAGACAACCTTCTATTGTTTGCTACACTTAGGTCACAAATTCTGGTTACATTAGTGTTTAAAAAGTACTATGTTTGCAGCTGAGAACCTAAGTTTTCTTTTTGAGACGGGGTCTTGCTTTGCAGTCAGGATAGCTTTGAGCTCACTGTGTATCCCAGACTGGCCAGCCTCAAACTCCCAGTGATCCTCCTGCCTCAACCTCAAGTGTTGGGATTATAGGTATGAGCCACCATGCCTGGCATTAGTGTATGTTTTTTTGTGTGAAATATTTTGTGTTTTCTGAAATTAGTAATTACATCTTTTTGTGTATTTGTTTGATTTTCTCTATTAAAACTCCAGACTGCAGTTCTCTGACATGCCTCAGCGCAGCTAAGTACATCAAGTACTCTTATCTAGACATGTTTAATTGGGTACTTTGTTTAATAATTTCCTTCCTATTCTGGCTGTCAGAATTTTCAGATACAGTAATTCCTTAAACAATTCCTTTGTCTGGCATACTGTTTGTTTTACACTTAACTATCTTTTTATATCTCCTAGAAGATTTAAGTCATTTAAAAAGTTTTCTTCTACACCTGGCATTTTCTCCATTTTCCCTAAGCTCTCCTTTTCTTTTTGTAGTTGATGTTAAAGGTTTTCTTCCAGTATCTGGCAGTTTAAGCTGGTGAGTTCATTTTGAAGAATGAATTGTTCACATGCCAAGTAGAAGCAAAACGCCTATGTGGGCAGGCAGCATCACCTGGAGGGCCTTCAGGGAGGACACCTGGCTGCTTTCCCTGGGTCGTCCTGGTGTCGGAAGTTACAGATCCTTTTCTCTTACATTGGACCAATCAGCTTCCTCCCAACTTTTTCTGAGACAAAGGCATGGTTTAGGGCAGGGAGAAAGGGCCGGTCCAAATAGCTCAGTGGATTAGAGCATCTGCAAGCAGGCACGGGGCAGGCCCTGCCCCTGGGGCACACTGAGATGGCAGTTGAGACTGGGCGTTGGTAGCGCATGCCTGTAATCCCAGCTCTTGGGAGGCTATAAACAGGCCGATCACTAGGAGTCCTATCTAGTAGTGAGACCCTGAACACTCTGTAGACCCTTCCCTAAACAGGAAGGAAGGAAGGAAGGAAGGAAGGAAGGAAGGAAGGAAGGAAGGAAGGAAGGAAGGAAGGGAAAAAAGAGAAAAGAAAGACCATAGGAAAGCTGGAGGATCTTATCGGGCAGCCATGTAGTTGTCTACTTCTTTCTAAAGTCAGACCCAGTAGACCCAGGGTAAAGATTCTTCCAGCCTTACAGGCTGAAAATGTTTTCTGCAGGGAAGGGCAGGGTTGGAATCTCAGGTATGGGGACTGAGGGAGAGAGGGCCTTATGTTCTTTAAGCATGTTTCTCTTCTAGAGTCTAAGCTTTTGTGGAGTTCAGGACACAAATATTCGTGATAGCTTCGTTATTCTAATAATGAGGAAAATGCAGAAATTTTCTTGAATATCTGCTTCTCAGAATTTTGTTGATGCCTCTTATATGCTATCTTTTATTTCTGTGGACTTATATCTTGACCATTCTCTATGGTCATTTTAGCAAGGTTTTGTGAAGAAATGGAGATAGAAAAGTGTGTTTACCTCATCATCTTTCTTTTTTCTTTTTTTTTTTTAATTACTTTATTATTTATTTGTGTGTGTGTGTGTGGCCAGCTCAGCCCACCAGGGGGTGGGGCTGGCTGGCATGTGGTGCTGGGGGATTGAACCGTGGTCCCAATGCTTTGCTAAGCTTGTTCTAAGTAGGTGCTTTAAACCACTGAGCCATCTCACCAGCCCCATCATCTTTCATTAGAGGTGTATTAACAACCTTTAAGCTGGGGTACAGCTCAGGGGCACAAGTATCTGCCTGGCAAGAGCAAGGTCCTGAGTTCAAGTTCTGATACAAAATATAATAATATTTTTTGTCATCTGTTAATTTTTTTTTCCTTAATCTTTTATTTATTTGGTACAGGGTCTTGCTACACAGCTCAGACTTGTAGTGATCCTCCTGTCTCAGCCTCCCCAGTGCTGGGATTACAGGGGTGTACCAACATACCTGGTTTTAGTGGCCGGCATGGCGTGCCCTTCTGGGGCCTGCACAGCATTGGTACCTGGATCGAATCCAGGGTCCTCATGCTTGCCAGGTAGGCACTTAGACTGCTGAGCTCTATCCCCAGCCCCCCCCCCCCTTTTTTGGTGGTACTGGGGATTGAACTCAGGACCTTGCACTTGCCAGGCAAGCACTTATTCTACTGAGCTACCTCCCCAGCCCAAAGTTTTTATTTATTTTTACAGAAGGTTCTACAGGGTGTTCAGGGTGTCACTACTAGATCGGACTCCTAGTGATCCGCCTGTTTCTAGCCTCCCAAGAGCTGGGATTACAGGTGTGGCCACCACGCCTAGTCTCAATTGCCCAGCATGCTCCAGGGGCGGGGCCAGCACAGCAGGCTGAGGATTGAAACCCTGGCCCCTGCAGCTGCTTGCAGGCATTGTAATCTGCTGAGCTATTTAGCCGGCCCTCCCAGCCCCTTTTTGTTGTCTTTTTGAAACAGGGTTTTACTGTACAGTTCCAGCTGGCCTTGAATCACTCTGTAGGTCACCCTGGTCTCAGACTTGCAAGGATCTTCCCAGTCCCCTGAGTGCTGGGATTATGATGTGTGCCACCATGCCCGGCTTACCTTTAAAAAACTTTTAATTTCTATATGGCTATTCATGGATTTTAAAGAAAGCCATGTAACAGTTGGGTTATCTTAAGGAAGAATATGATCCTTCAAAACAGCATTAACTTCACTCTTAAGAAATTTAAACTCACTTTTTTTTTTTAAACATTTATTTATTTATTGTGTGTGTATGTGTGGCCAGCTCAGCCCTCCAGGGGGCGGGGCTGGCTGGCATGTGGTGCTGGGGGATCGAACCGTGGTCCCTGTGCTTAGCCAAGCTTGTTCCATGTAGGTGCTTTAGACCACTGAGCCATCTCGCCAGCCCCTAAACTCACTTTTGAGGCCAGTAGGTTAAGCCTAAGGAGTGTAGCCAAGGTTCAGGCACAAAAGCCCATACAAGATAAAGTACTCTAGGATGAAAACAGACAAGAAGTTAGTAGGATGTAAGTTCAGTCCAGTCCATTTCAGTTCAGAGGTGACAAAGATTCTCTTCTGTGAATCTCTCAGAAATGATTTTCCCTTTCAGTTTTCTAGCTCCTTATTTGTATCATTTGTCTAGGACTTAACCATAATTACCTTATTGTTGGTCATTTTTTAACAGCTTAACTCCTACACTATACTTTAAGCAATTCGAGGGCACAAAGCCTGCCTCAGCGATTATAATTCTTACAGCACTTAGCAATTTGCTGTATGTATACTAGATGTTTAATACGGCGTCTCCACATACAGGGCACAAGAAATTACAGATGCTTAGTTGCTTAGAGTGGAGTTCACTGCAGTTCTGGACACTATAGGTTGAATGTCTGTTTTCTCTGCCAGAGTACAGTCTTCTATTCCTCAGCCCCAAATCTTGGTAGCCTCTATTGTTGTCCCTGGTAATAGCAGTAGCAAAGCGCCGACTGTGCACTGGGGGACAAGCCCCATTCTATGTGCACTATTTCATTTGGTCCTCAAAACAACCCCTGAGGTCTGAAGACAGTTTTCACAAATGAAGCAGTGGAATCTTAGGCTATATTTCCTTCTCAAGGGAAGTGATAGGAACAAATAATGATAGATTTTTTTTTCTCTCTACAAATACATATTGTAGAATTCTGTATATCAGGAGTATGAGATACAGTGGTGAACCCCGAAGAGATAGCTTCTGCCCTCTCTGAATTTAAAATCTAGTATTGGGTGGGGTGTGGTGATGCATACCTTTAGTCCCAGTACTCAGGAGGTGGAGGAACCAGGAGCATCACTATGAGTTCAAGGCCAACCTGTGGTACATAGCGAGCTCACGCCCAGTCTGAACTACATAATGAGACCCTTTCTCTAAATAAATAAATTTATTTAATTAAATGAAATTAGTGGTAAATAGGTATAAATTGATCTTTTCACTATACTGTGATATGTACTAATGAATGAAGAATAAAAAATGACACAGAACGCACTTGAACTTTTTCCATTCTACATCTTCCTCTTGCATAATTCTGCCCATAGTACGTGTTATTATCTGGCATTGTATATGCTTTACACTTATTTAATTTTTCCACTATCTTTTCTTCATAGAATGAAAATTTTGGCTAGCAAGCTTCTCCATGGCCTGCCATTGTGCCTGGCATATGGCAGAAACCCAAATGCTTGAATTAAATTGCAGTTGTGGGTGTCACGGAGAGTAAGTCTTAAGGTCAGTTTTTATTTGTATAGTTTCTAATCCTTGAAATATTCTTTGAGTAGGAATTTACAAAAATGGTAATGACAGCACCTGACAGTTCCTTATTGTTCTTTATATTTATTTAAATCACCCCAGTTAATAGAACAGAAGTGGGAGCAGAGTAAAATCTGTGTATTTGGGTTCAAATTCTAGCACTATCATTTACTATATCTGTGACCCTGAGCAGGTTGCTTAAGCCCACAATTCTCATCTTTACAATGACAATAACAGTACCTAACTCTAGGGCCGTGGATTGTGTGTAATAAGCATTCAGTAAACATCATTATCAGTACCCTTTTACAGATGAGAAAACTGAAGACTCAAAGAAGGCCCAGGGGCCGGCGAGATAGCTCAGTGGACTAAAGCACCTGCTTAGGCAAGCATAGGCAAGCTGGGGGACTTGGGTTGGATCCCCTTAGGTCAGGCTGAGCCCACAGACCCTGGTCCTAGTGGCATATGCTTATAATTCCAGTGCTGGGGAGGCTGAAAACAGGATCACTATGAGTCCAGGCTGCTTAGCGAGACCCTGTAACATGCAAATATATATTTTTTAAGAAGAAAATAGGCTCAAAGAAGTCCCAGGTCAAACACTTGCTGATTGGTGTAAGAGCCAGAATTTGAACTCAGTTACAACTCCTTCCCAGACTCCAGGAGGGCTTTACCCTTAGGTTGATTTTTTAGAAGGACCACCACTCCACCTTCCTTGTTTCCACCAGATTCCAAAAAGTTAGACTGGAGACATCCAATTTTTTTCCTCTTGACTACCTGCTAGCTAATTCCCAAATCCTTTTGGTGAAGGACTTGAGGTCTGCTGTGTGAGTCTGAGCATGTTAATCCCTCAGTGAGCTTCAGTTTCCTTATGTGTAAGTGGAACACTGCGGAGACAGCCTGCCTTGTCCATTCTCTAGCCCAGCTGTCTTCACTCCTCAGCTGCTGCATGCTCCGTGGAGCAAATGCTTGACTTAAAATCTCTACCTTCCTTCACGGCCTGTCTTCCCTCCTAATTATTCTTCTGTCATGTACAGCACCAGGTACAGTTTCTGGGAAGAATCTGATTTCTACTAAATTTATTACTCTTCAGAAGACCATGACCTCTTTAGGGGCAAGCACCAGGTTTTACTCACTTCGCTGTAGGGCCTGCTGCTAAATCTGAATTGAGACTGAACGTCTTGGGCTAGTGCTGCCATATAGAACACTCTAGCAGACATGGTTTCTCTTCAGGTCTTTTTAAAAAGGCATGTAAGTAGGACAAATCAGCAGCTGATGTTGGCATATTCTAAGAACAAATGCATTATTTCCTGCTCCTTGGACTCCAGGGAGCGACCCTCCCAGGAGAGTACTTACTGAAGCCAAATTGAGAAGCTTAAGAAAAGTACAAAGCCATAAACCGCTCTTTCTGGCAATAACGATGGTGAATTTTCCACCATTTTCTCCGTGGCTTTGGACAGTCTGTGGAAAAGGAACACAGTTGTCATCAGTGATCGACTCCCCCTCACCACTGAGCTGTTATAACTAACTGGCTTGCACTAGACACAGTCACTGCAGGGGAAACCGACTCCTGCTCCGGAAGGGCGCCCTCCCGCTGTGCTGCAGGAGGGCTCACCTGCGACGCTCATGATGGGGCCCAGCGCTCTGGGGTGCGTTGGGGAGGGGCGCTGTATCCCTCACTAGCGGCGGGGCAACCTGCGCAGGTCCACCCGAGCCCCTTGGCCACCTCGGTAGGGAGTTCTATGCACTACTTTTTAAGCTGTAGCCGTAGTTAAGGGGGTGGGGCAGCAGAACCGAAGATACCGCTAAGGCGAGACAACTGTCCCCTCCCCCTGGCGCTAGCGCCCCGCGACTCTTGCAGGGAGATGGGGGGGGGTGGTACCGTCAGCTTGGGGGCTGGTGGACTGGAGGGCGGGCAGATGCGGGGGCGGGGGGGGGAATGAGTGCGCATGTGCGCTGCCTACCCATGTGACACCACTGCTACTTACAGCCTGCCTCCGGCTTCGCGGCTCAGTCGGGACCACGGAGGCGGCGGCTGCTGCTGTCCGTGTCCGAGACTCGCGGGCTACCCGCTCGGGTGAGTGGACGGACACTCCGCGCGTGGCAGGGCTCCCAGACGCGTCACCTAGTCCCGCTGCAGCCGAGATACCTGGGGAGCGTGTATTTCACACCCTGGGTGGGTGTGTGGTGAGTGCGGGTGTGCGCGCATCGTGCGTGTCACTCATTGAGGTGCACACTGTGTCTGCGTGGGCCAGCGTGGAGGGGGTGTGACTGGTTCTTTCTGCTCTAGTGTATGATTTCCCCTTGTCCAGTGAACCCTTTGCGAGTGTAGGTCCCGAGTTATTGCATGGTGGGACTGTGGGAGGACTGTGGGAGTGGTCCTTTTGGGTGCTTTGCACCCATGCTGCCCGGGCATCCCAGTCCTGGTCCCTGAGTGAGTGGGTGACACCCCTAGTTGGCGACAGGTCCCCCTCGGGCAGAGCGCACGGGCATCTGTCCTTGCTTGTTCCCTTTGTGTCTCTACTCCACCTTCCCTGGGTGGGTTTGGGTTCCCAGCCTCTGGGTGGCCCCCTTCGTGTCACTGTCCTCCTCCATGGGATACGCATCTTCCACAGCGAGTAGCTGCGCCACCTGTGGCCATGACCCCTGCCTGAAGTATCTGTCGTGCGCATGTGCATCCTGCGTGTACCTGAGTGTGTGCTATGCGGGGTCCGGTTCCCGTGCGTGGTTGCGCTTGTGTGGGTTTCGTTCTCGAGTGCTGTCGAGTTTCCTGCGTTCTCGCTACCTGTTTTGGAGAGAGCTGGCGTCCTAGGCCAGAGCTGGTGCCCTCCAGAAGGAATAAACTGGGAGGCATCCAGCCTGGTGCGAGCCCCTCCCTCGCCTCTGCTCAGCATCCCCCTACCCGAATTTCAAGGCAAGGGGGAGGGCGCCAGCGGGCCTGGCCAGCTGCATTGTTGGCGACGTCAGTGTGGCTTGTCCACGCCATTCTGTTCTGGAGACTGAGGATAAAGTCTCTCAAAGACCAAAAATTGAGCAGAGGTATAAGGGATCTTGTACCTTTTCCCCAGAACCCTAGACTCCAAAAACTGTTCGTTTGCAAAATATTTACCCACACTAACGTAATACGATATAGAGGCCCCTGGGCAGTCGTGTGAAGTGGTTCATAGGGTGTTTAGGGCAGTCACAAAAATCTCTTTTGATTCTGCCCAATATTCTGGCAAGGGAAACAAGGTAAAAATCTTACAGATTTTACCTCTTCTGCCCAGGGAGCAGTTTCTACATAATTATAGTCCTAACTACGGTATTTTTTTTTTCTTCCAAGTTTCTGTTTTTTATTTTAATGGCAGTGGGATTATAAAAATATATAGGAAGAAGTTTAAAATTAAAAGAAATTAAAGATATATAAGGGCAAAAGCTTCAAACCTTTTAGCAATCCACCCATTATTGCTTTCCTTTCAGGATGCTTGCTTGGTACTCAGTGGGTGTGTGTTGGTGTCTCTTCTGCTCAATTTCCTTGTGCTTGCCTTCCCCCCCCTTTTTAATTTCTAGAATATTTTGAATATAAAGCACAGATGGGTATCTAACTAATCCATGACTTCAGTTTTACAGAAATAACGGTTTTGCCAAATTTACTTCAGATCCTTAAAAAAAAGATTCTGGAGGTGATCTCAGTTCCTCCCTCTCCCAGAAGTAGTCATGGTGTTCAGGTTTGGGTAAATGATTTCCTTGCATATTTTATATATAATGATAAGAATCTATAAGCACATATAGAATTGCCGACTTTTAAGCTTTGGTGGTATTAAACTATATATGTCTTTCTGCAACTTGCCTTATTCACTCAGCATTGCATTTTGAAATCTATATATTAATAAAGCGAATGTGCTTTTTCTGGTTCATTGATTTTAATTGCTGGTATAGAATTACACTGTGCATGTAAATATACCATAATTTGCATATACATTCCTCTGTTGATGGGACTTTAAAGTGGTTTTCAGTTTTTGAGTCACAATAAATCTGTCCTTGTCTGCTGGCCATGTTTGGAAGTTTCTTTAGAAGCACCCCTAGTGGCATCTACTGGGTAGAACAAGATGTGCATGTTGAACTTAACCTGATGTATAGACGCTCTCAAAGTGGTTTTACCAATTTTTATTCTCACTGGTACTGAGAATGCCATTTCCTAACATCCTTTTTAGAAATCCTTTTTTATGTACCCTTTTATAAAATTGATAATGCCCAGTTAGCTAACACTTTGTGTCATCGAACTAATATTTTTGCCTTCTCCTTACTGACTAGCTTCTTTTTAACTGCACCTTGCTGCTAAGTTTGCTTTTAGCCCTCTTGGCTTCTTTCCTATCCCTTTGTCTTCCTATGGGCTCATTTCTCACAGCTAATTGGCTATTTTTATCACATTTGAGCCTCATAAAATCAATTTCAGTGAACATTCATATATACCAATTATTGCTACAGTTGACATAGAGATAAAATTTCCATGATTTAAATGTACAAGATGTACGCCTCTAGTGGCAAGTGACTAAAAGCATTTTTTGATATCATGAATGTTTTTTAAAAAATCTTGTCTATTTTAGTGTAATATTATATATGTTCAAAATATATGTAACAAATGTGCATGCTGTGAAGCAAACAAAATGAACACCTATAAAATGACCAGTCAATCCAAGAATCAAAATAACCAATACTGAATGTGCTCACATAAGATGATTATACTGAATTGTATGTTGTTACCTGCATTTAAAAATAATTTATCAGATGTATATACATTTTTCAACAATGATTATATGGTTTCTGTTTTTGTGCATAAAAATCATTCTGGGTAAGGTTTTCTGTGACTTATTTCACTTGATGTTACATTTCTGTCACTAATATTGAGTATAGATGTAAGCCATCAACTGCTATGTAATATTCTGGGATGTGAATATAATTTCCTGTATGAACATAGTTCATATATTTTCCTGTTAGTGGGCATTTTGGGATTGTTTCTAGCTTCTGTTATTTTGATGCTTCTTGTACATTTCTCTTGTACAGAGTTCTAAGAATTTCTTATTTTTCATCCTGGTCTACATATATGATGTGATGTTATGAATGAATTTCTAGATCACTAAATTTTATGTACCCGTTTCTAAAATTGATATTGCCCAGGCCAGAGAGTTCAGTTTACATGAGCAAGGCAAACCACCTACCCACATGGAAAAAACAGAGAATAGCCCCAGAAATAGCTCATGTAAAAGAAAGGGATAATTTAAAATACAGTGTACAAAAAAAAAATGCAGTGTACAGTTTGGGAAGTACCTCTTTAATCCGTGTACCTCCTCTGCTGTTTCTTTAAGAAATACATTTCCAACAACATTTCATTTTTTCTGTTTAATTATCAGTGTGTACAGTTATTTTTGGTCAGTTGTGTGGTAATTATACTTTTAAAAGAATTATTAATTGTACTTTGAGTGTGACTACAATGCTCTAGAAATCATCATTTGCAATTACTTAAGCTTAATACTAAAAATTTTTAGATGTCATCATACCATGTGACAGATACATAATTTTCAAAAGTGAGTTTAGTGGTTTGTGAACAACAACAAAAATGACTTGGAATAGCACTATAGTAGGCTCATTGCTAGAAGTGGAATTTCTGGTGCAAAGGGTATGAACACACAATGTCATGGAATGATCCCAGGTTCTTTTGAAGTGACTCTAACTAGCTTATACTTTGGGCAATAATTTTTGTCATTTATATATTTTGACAAGCAGAGTATAACAGTTATAGTTGACCTGTTGTAACCTGTCTAATTTTCATTTTGTTATACTTCTTAATATTTGCCAATGGAATGGTTATGAAAAGATGCATCATTTTGGTTTTAATTTGAATTTGATTATTAATGAGATTGAACATCTTTTCATATATTTATGAACCATCTGTGTTCCCCTAATGTGAAATACCTGGTCATGTCTTTTTATCCATTTACTTCTGTTCAGTTGTAAAATTGATAAACTGGTAGCACTGATCTTTTATATGCCTATCTTTTCACTCTTTGTGTTGTAGCTTGGTGAATGGAAAGTCTTAATATTATGTAACGGAACTGGAACCTTCTTTATTCTGGGCTTATAAAGATGTTTTACTGTGTTTCTTTTTAGAAGTTTTAAATGCTTTTCACAAATTCATATTTGAAATTCATAATTCATAGATCTTTGCTTTTGTGTATAGTCACATTTATTTTATTCCCCCCATGGCTCCAGTTACCCCTGGGCTGATGTTGAGTGGGCCCTCTATTCATCAGTGACCTCCACATCATCTCTTTTGCGTGTTGAATTTCTGTGTGTACGGATTCGTTTTTGGCTCGCCTTTCTGTAACTTGCCGTCTTCTCTGTTTCTGTGTTGCTACCTGTATTGTCTTAATTATTAATGCTCTAGTTTTACCAGAAATCTTGATCTCTGGGGAGAAGTTGAGTCTAGCTGTTC